CTGAAACAAAAAAATATGTTGTTATAAATCGCAATTCCCTGCAACCTTCCACTCTATGAATACACAATGCCCTCCCTGCCTGTCACATGTTCAGTGTCATTACCCTCTCTGTGCCTGTTATGTTCTAGCTGTCTTGCTATTTGTCTCCATATACATAGACTGTAGATGAGGTCCATTCTTGGGGGGAATTTAGATTGAAGTGTAGCTCCGACAGAAATACTGGCTACTTGGGGAACAGATACTTCCAGTAATATATATGTGAGAGATACAGTGAATGTGCACAATGTTGTACACTGGAGGTGTGAATACCAACACAGAAAGAATAAATGCAGTTGAACAGGATGAACTCAACTGAAACACAGAGTTTGTCTCTAACACGATATCTCTCACACGCACACCTTATGTCACACACACACACACACAGAGAATTTTTCTCTCACACACCATGTCGCACACACACACACACAGAGATCTAATTCTTAGCAATTTGTCCCTCTAGCACTTGAGTTTTGTGTTGTCGTTCTTCCTAGTGGTAATCCTGTCAATGTCCGCAGGAGTTATCTCCCCTAACAGAAGTATGGGAAAACTTGTACCAATTCCTGCACACATGTCACACATGCATGCATGTGTTTGTTTGTTTTCCGGAACAAAACAAACAATTTTGTCAAAATGTTTTGTTTAAGGTTTGGCTTCTTATTTGGTGTAGACTCCACTGGCCATTACTGAGGAAGCCTTGTCAGCAACTCTGAAGTCTTTTGGAGATTTGATAAAAGGTCTGGTGGATTGAATGTCAGCGATATCGCATCCTGGAGCGATAGGATCAACATTGCTGGTCTTCACCCCTCCTCATATGAGAGGCAGGTTGGAGTCTTGAGACATGGACCACAGTGGCCACTACTGTCACCTCAGCTGAGGTATTCCCTGAGATATAAAGCATGGCATTGATAGTTTGATGAGTATTCATCAAGTAGAAGTCACAGGTCGTATGGTCCGTGTGGACATGGGGCACCTGTTGGAGGTAGGCACCCAAAGGAGTTCAGCATCTGTTGGAGGACATCATAGCAGAGACAACAGGATTGGAGATAACAGTACATGCATGGAAAGATGTTCTGGTACAGGCCGCACAGACTTTGGAAGATGCTGCCTTTGACTAATGAAGCTGTCTCAGACTTCAACAGAGTAATCCCTATTTTAAGGGGTCCTGTAGCACCAGGCCAGACGAGGAAGTTCGGGGGAGTGGATCTCCGACAGGACGGCAGAAACAATCCCAAGTCTAATTCAAGGGGATATTGGAAAGGATTTCATACCAAGAAGGACGGACTTCCCAGACATTAGTAGCATGGATGTTGACCTTGGCTACAGACAATGATCATGCTCCGAGAACATTGGTATCAGCCCTGCAATGACAGCCATAGACTAGCTCTTGAACAAGAAGGCTGTCATCGAGTTACATGTTTTTGAGTCCGGACCAGGGTTTGGTATTCCTGGTCCCCAAGAAGGATTCAGCAGACCTCAGGATGATTATTGATCTGAAGGTCCTCAACCAGGAATGTCTGAGATGACCTCACAAGTTTCAGATGGAGTCCATATGGAACCTCAGACAGGGGACGGGGACTCTATAATCTCCATAGACCTGCAGAATGCGTATCTACATGTTCTGATCCATCCAGACTCTCAGAGATACCTACACTTTGGTGTCTAGGGAAGACTCTTCTAGTTTAAGGTTCTACCATTTGGAATATCAGTTTCTTCATGGCTGGTCATGATCTTCACAGCTCCAGTCCTAGCACATCTACATCTTCAAAGTATATGAATTCACCGGTAACTGGACAATTTCCTCTCTACAAATGCCGATGTTGATGCTTGTTTAGAAGACTCTCAATATTTGCTAGATTTCTTTGTGAATTTGGGGTTCCTTGTTCATCTGGAAAAGTCTGAGCTTCAACCCAAGAAAGAAATATATCACATAAATACGTGCGAACAACTAGTTACGGGTCCAGCAATGTGAGGGTCCCAGTCCATTCAGCTGTGAATGGTATCTCGTAAGGATGGGAAAGCCACATTAACTTGGTGCATCTAAATGGCTGCAAGAGTTATATGCCTCCCAGGGAGTTGAGATTGAAAAATATGATGTGCCGTTGAAACTGACATTCTATGATCGAGGGAAAAACAAAGCGCCTTTAAGCAGCCGAGCTGAGCTGGATATTGGCTCTTCAAATATCATATAATAATAATAATATATCGCAGCAATATGTGACACCAGTTGAGGCTTAGTTATCGAGAAGTCAAATCCAATTTTAGCAATCTCCTCACACTCCTTGTCAATGGATGTTGCTTCTAGGAGTTCTGAGTTCTGTGCGGAATTTTACATCTAGAGACTGTCCACATCTAAGATACAATCAAGATTGAATCAACCAGCATTGAGGGACACAGCTAGACTCTATGATAGTGAATACGGATCTGATGTTCAAATACCTTGCATGGTGGAATATTCCTGACATCATCCATGGGACTCTGATCACCTCCAATCACTACTCTGCAGATGCATCACTCACAGGACGACATCTTGAAGACAAAACAGTATCTGGATGTCCACATCAATGTTCATGATGGCCACATCAATGTTCATGATGGCAGCCCTCTAAGCTTTACAGCACTGGGCCTAAGGAACTCCATATATGATGCCATGGACAATTCCACAGTAGTAGCTTACATCAACAGGCTAGGGGTAACCAACTCTCAAGTGAGCGTACAAGCAAACTTTACTATTTAACGGTCAGTCTGGATTGCAGCATCCTGGCCAGACACATCCCTACCTGGATACAGTGTTAGAAGCCCATTTCAGGTGTCCCATGATGTGTAAGAAGCCCATTTCAGGTGTCCCACGATGTGTTAGAAGCCCATTTCAGGTGTCCCACAATGTGTTAGAAGCCCATTTCAGGTGTCCCACGATGTGTTAGAAGCCCACTTCAGGTGTCCCACGATGTGTTAGAAGCCCATTTCAGGTGTCCCACAATGTGTTAGAAGCCCATTTCAGGTGTCCCTCGATGTGTTAGAAGCCAATTTCAGGTGTCCCATGATGTGTTAGAAGCCCATTTCAGGTGTCCCACAATGTGTTAGAAGCCAATTTCAAGTGTCCCATGATGTGTTAGAAGCCCATTTCAGGTGTCCCTCGATGTGTTAGAAGCCAATTTCAGGTGTCCCATGATGTGTTAGAAGCCCATTTCAGGTGTCCCACAATGTGTTAGAAGCCCATTTCAGGTGTCCCACAATGTGTTAGAAGCCCATTTCAGGTGTCCCACGATGTGTTAGAAGCCCACTTCAGGTGTCCCACGATGTGTTAGAAGCCCATTTCAGGTGTCCCACAATGTGTTAGAAGCCCATTTCAGGTGTCCCATGATGTGTTAGAAGCCCACTTCAGGTGTCCCACGATGTGATGTTGCTGGATTAATGCTGAAAGCAGCTAAAACTAAACTCACTCACTGCAAGTCACAAACAGTTAGTCACACTCACACAGGTCTTTCTCACATGCACAGTCTGTGTCACACACATATCGCCTGTCTCATACAGAGATCTGTTTCACACACACAAGTCTGATGTTGTATGCATATTTTAACTGTTTCAGAAAATGATATTGTTACTATTTTCCACAAGTCATATTCTCTATGCCGATTGATGAAGATTTTATTTGGTGTCAAATGTTGTTTGTGGGGAAGGTGCACGTGTGGTGGAGGACATTTTGTCTGTGTGCTGAGGAGAAATGTGCACAGGATTAAAGGTGTTTTTGTCAGCGATATAGGCGTTAAATCAATAGGAGAACTGTTGGCTCAGGTTAACTTGATCAGCCTGACCAGACAGATGGTTTGACCGGGTGACTGGTTGTGGGGGTTTGATCGGAGAGGGGTGACTGGTTGTGGGGTTTGATAGGGGAGGGGTGACTGGCTGTGGTGTTTGATGGGGGAGGGGTGACTGGTTTTGGGGTTTGATGGGGAGGGGTGACTGGTTATGGTGTTTGATGGGAGAGGGGTGACTGGTTGTGGGGTTTGATGGGAGAGGGTGATTGGTTGTGGGGTTTGATGGGAGAGCGGTAACTGGTGGTGGTGTTTGATGGGAGAGGGGTGACTGGTTGTGCGGTTTGATGGGAGAGGGGTGACTGGTTGTGGTGTTTGGGATAGGGTGGGGTTTGAGGGGTGACTGGTTGTGGGGTTTGATGGGAGAGGGATGACTGGTTGTGGGGTTGGTGATAGGGGAGGGGTGACTGGTTGTGGGGTTTGATGGGAGGGGATGACTGGTTGTGGGGTTTGATAGGAGAGGGGTGATTGGTTGTGGTGTTTTGATAGGGAGGGGTGACTGGTTGTGGGGTTTGATAGGGGAGGGTGACTGGTTGTGGGGTTTGATGGGAGAGGGATGACTGGTTGTGGGGTTTGATGGGAGAGGGGTGACTGGTTGTGGTGTTTGATAGGGGAGGGGTGACTGGTTGTGGGGTTTGATGGGAGAGGGGTGATTGGTTGTGGTGTTTGATGGGGTGGGGTGACTGGTTGTGGGGTTTGATGGGAGAGGGATGACTGGTTGTGGTGTTTGATGGGAGGGGGAGGTGACTGGTTGTGGTGTTTTGATAGGGAGGGGTCACTGGTTGTGGTGTTTGATGGGGAGGGTGACTGGTTGTGGTGTTTGATGGGGGAGGGGTGACTGGTTGTGGTGTTTGATGGGAGAGGGGTGACTGGTTGTGGTGTTTTGATAGGGGAGGGTGACTGGTTGTGGTGTTTGATTAGGGAAAGGGTGACTGGCTGTGGGGGTTGATTGTCTTTGTTAGCCTGAACTGTATTTACTCTCACCCTGCCCTACATATTAATGATACCACAAGTAGACACTGAGTTCCCCCAAACCTGAACCCTGCCTAACAGTATCCTGTCCCCTGAGGTAGACATTGGTTACGCTGATGGCCTGTAATTGCCTTAAGGGACTTTATCAAATTATGTGATTCTCCGTCAACCTTCCAGATGCCCAGAAGCTCCTGACCGCGCTGCCGAGCCTGGAGACACGACTTCCCAGCAAGGGTCCTGAGATAGCGTTCCTTCATCGCTTCCTGCGCTCAAGGGACCTGCGGCTATTACTACATGTAAGTCAGCGTTATCACTGTTTACCATACAGAACAGTAATACAGATGTGATTCAAATTGTTCACCTGCTTACTTTTTGTTTTGGAGATATTTCTGAAGTGTTGAATAATAGCCTGCTATAACCGACAAAGATGCCCAGTTTCAATATTCGTATGTTTGCAGTTACCATGGTGACAGGTTTTTCAAGCTATCTGATATTAATTAAGAATAATGGATCAATGAAACTTTACTTATTGATGCTTGACATTACATGAATTCTTTCATTGAAACATTATGTTAAATGACATATTATATGATTTGCTGCACAACCAAAAATGTGGAATAACAAAAAAAAAAAAAAAAAAATGGCAACCAGTGTCTTGACGAATGATTAAACATGAATTTGACTCTTTGTACAGGACCAACTGTGAAGTTAAACAACAGTATTATTTGATGACAGACTCATCTAACAATTGCTCATAGTAAAGTGAAAAATAGTTTCATTTTCAAAAAGGTTTCTGAAAATGGTGTCCAGCCTTGTACTGTCCCTGAGGTCAGACACAGTTAGAGCACCTGGTGTCGTGGCACTGTTCACTGCCACAACGTCCCCACATGCTATTGATATCTAACACAATAGTATCTGTCACAGGTTTACCGATTACTTTCCACCAGTCCACAAGTCCGTCCTGTGGCAGAGTTTGCTGTGTCCCAAGCTGCTGATGTGAGTAGTCTTAACAGAGTTGTCTTCCTTGACTCATCCGGACACAAGTGCACCAGAGATAGATTCACAGCCTTGTCCCCTGTTGATATGAAAAATAGCAAAATAACTTTACATTTGTGGAGAATCTTTCAGTCAGAAGTCATATCCTAGGTAAACACTTCCAAGACTTATCCAAGAAAATATTTTCACTGGCAGTTTCTGGAATATTTTCTCATATGAATGTTCTTTCTTCATTTCTATTTGACCTGCAAAAAGGTTCATCACTTGCACTTGTCACTGTCTAGGTGTTCTGTGTGCCTGTAGGCTGTGGTATAACTGAACGATCGATGTGTTTGTTGCTGTCTAGGTGTTCTGTGTGCCTGTAGGATGTGGTATAACTGAATAATGTGGTGTTTGTTACTGTCTAGGTGTTCTGTGTGCCTGTAGGATGTGGTATAACTGAATAATGTGGTGTTTGTTGCTGTCTATGTGTTCTGTGTGCCTGTAGGATGTGCTATAACTGAATGATGTGTTTGTTGCTGTCTATGTGTTCTGTGTGCCTGTAGGATGTGGTATAACTGAATAATGTGTTTTGTTCTATGTGTTCCCGCTGTCTGTGTGTGGATGTGGTATAACTGAATGTGTGTTACTGTCTAGGTGTTCTGTGTGCCTGTAGGATGTGGTATAACTGAATAATGTGGTGTTTGTTGCTGTCTATGCGTTCTGTGTGCCTGTAGGATGTGGTATAACTGAATAATGTGGTGTTTGTTGCTGTCTAGGTGTTCTGTGTGCCTGTAGGCTGTGGTATAACTGAATGATGTGTTTGTTGCTGTCTATGCGTTCTGTGTGCCTGTAGGATGTGGTATAACTGAATAATGTGGTGTTTGTTGCTGTCTAGGTGTTCTGTGTGCCTGTAGGCTGTGGTATAACTGAATGATGTCTTTGTTGCTGTCTATGCGTTCTGTGTGCCTGTAGGATGTGGTATAACTGAATGATGTGGTGTTTGTTGCTGTCTAGGTGTTCTGTGTGCCTGTAGGCTGTGGTATAACTGAATGATGTGTTTGTTGCTGTCTATGCGTCCTGTGTGCCTGTAGGATGTGGTATAACTGAATAATGTGGTGTTTGTTGCTGTCTATGTGTTCCGTGTGCCTGTAGGATGTGGTATAACTGAATGATGTGTTTGTTGCTGTCTATGTGTTCTGTGTGCCTGTAGGCTGTGGTATAACTGAATGATGTGTTTGTTGCTGTCTATGTGTTCTGTGTGCCTGTAGGATGTGGTATAACTGAATGATGTGGTGTTTGTTACTGTCTAGGTGTTCTGTGTGCCTGTAGGATGTGGTATAACTGAATGATGTGTTTGTTGCTGTCTATGTGTTCTGTGTGCCTGTAGGATGTGGTATAACTGAATGATGTGTTTGTTGTTGTCTATGTGTTCTGTGTGCCTGTAGGATGTGGTATAACTGTGTGTGCCTGTAGGATGTGGTATAGGATGTGGTATAACTGAATAATGTGGTGTTTGTTACTGTCTATGTGTTCTGTGTGCCTGTAGGATGTGGTATAACTGAATGATGTGTTTGTTGCTGTCTATATGTTCTGTGTGCCTGTAGGATGTGGTATAACTGAATGATGTGTTTGTTGCTGTCTATGTGTTCTGTGTGCCTGTAGGATGTGGTATAACTGAATGATGTGGTGTTTGTTGCTGTCTAGGTGTTCTGTGTGCCTGTAGGCTGTGGTATAACTGAATGATGTGTATGTTGCTGTCTATGTGTTCTGTGTGCCTGTAGGATGTGGTATAACTGAATGATGTGTTTGTTGCTGTCTATGCGTTCTGTGTGCCTGTAGGATGTGGTATAACTGAATAATGTGGTGTTTGTTACTGTCTAGGTGTTCTGTGTGCCTGTAGGATGTGGTATAACTGAATGATGTGTTTGTTGCTGTCTATGTGTTCTGTGTGCCTGTAGGATGTGGTATAACTGAATGATGTGTTTGTTGTTGTCTATGTGTTCTGTGTGCCTGTAGGATGTGGTATAACTGAATAATGTGGTGTTTGTTACTGTCTAGGTGTTCTGTGTGCCTGTAGGATGTGGTATAACTGAATAATGTGGTGTTTGTTGCTGTCTATGCGTTCTGTGTGCCTGTAGGATGTGGTATCACTGAATAATGTGGTGTTTGTTGCTGTCTAGGTGTTCTGTGTGCCTGTAGGCTGTGGTATAACTGAATGATGTGTTTGTTACTGTCTATGCGTTCTGTGTGCCTGTAGGATGTGGTATAACTGAATAATGTGGTGTTTGTTACTGTCTAGGTGTTCTGTGTGCCTGTAGGATGTGGTATAACTGAATGATGTGTTTGTTGCTGTCTATGTATGTTCTGTGTGCCTGTAGGATGTGGTATAACTGAATGATGTGGTGTTTGTTGCTGTCTAGGTGTTCTGTGTGCCTGTAGGCTGTGGTATAACTGAATGATGTGTTTGTTGCTGTCTATGTCCTGTGTGCCTGTAGGATGTGGTATAACTGAATGATGTGTTTGTTGCTGTCTATGCGTTCTGTGTGCTGTGTGCCTGTAGGATGTGGTGTATAAACTGAATGATATGTTTGTTGCTTCTATATGTTCTGTGTGCCTAGGATGTGGGTATAACTGAATGATATGTTTGTTGCTGTCTATGTGTTCTGTGCCTGTAGGATGTGGTATAACTGAATGATGTGGTGTTTGTTGCTGTCTAGGTGTTCTGTGTGCCTGTAGGCTGTGGTATAACTGAATGATGTGTATGTTGCTGTCTATGTGTTCTGTGTGCCTGTAGGATGTGGTATAACTGAATGATGTGTTTGTTGCTGTCTATGCGTTCTGTGTGCCTGTAGGATGTGGTATAACTGAATAATGTGGTGTTTGTTACTGTCTAGGTGTTCTGTGTGCCTGTAGGATGTAGTATAACTGAATGATGTGTTTGTTGCTGTCTATGTGTTCTGTGTGCCTTTAGGATCTGGTATAACTGAATGATGATGTGTTTGTTGCTGTCTAGGTGTTCTGCTCCGTGCGATGCCAGGAGGAAGACCTGCGAGTACAAGAACTGCTTGACATCTTGTCTAAACCTCACCTACAGGTACAGACCTTGTAGCAAACAATATGGAAGGAAAGAACACTCTGAGTGTCTTCTGTTCTACTGTAGTTTTCCAAACTATGTACTTGGCCTGAAGAAGGTGGGAAGTAACTACACTGGCATTATTTATTGATTATATAACATCACTCCATAAAATGTCCTCTTATATTATTTCAACTGGCCATCATTTTATTTAATGGACACTACTTTTTACAAACAAATATTTTGAGCAGTGACCCTAAGGTTAGAAGGATATAGAATAAACTGCTTCCATTACTCACGAGATCACATTAAGAAACATTTAATGTCTTAATGTTAGGAACTGATGCTGACTGTAAATGTTTTGTATTCCTCGGTGCAGGCGTTGTTGTACACCCATGACAAGATCTCAAGGTCGGACTATTCACCTCAGGTCGGCCCGGTGGCGGAGGAAGTGGATGAAGATGAGGCTGCTGTCAAGGTCGTCAGACTCATTAAGAGCAATGAGCCACTGGTAGGCAGACAACCAATACAGATGTTACTTTAGTGAAATGTTGAAAATGCTATGACAAGACTTTTAAGAAATACCAGGCATATATTTTTCCTTTGTTTTCTTGGCATATTTGCGACTATTGTTGTTTTGTTAAATGGTTGAAGGGCGTGATGATACAGCTGATAGTGTATGTTGGTTGGTTGCAGGGTGTGACGATACAGCTGATAGTGTATGTTGATTGGTTGCAGGGCATGACGATACAGCTGATAGTGTATGTTGAATGGTTGCAGAGTGTGATGATACAGCTGATAGTGTATGTTGAATGGTTGCAGGGTGTGATGATACAGCTGATAGTGTATGTTGGTTGGTTGCAGGGTGTGACGATACAGCTGATAGTGTATGTTGATTGGTTGCAGGGCATGACGATACAGCTGATAGTGTATGTTGAATGGTTGCAGAGTGTGATGATACAGCTGAAAGTGTATGTTGATTGGTTGCAGGGCATGACGATACAGCTGATAGTGTATGTTGAATGGTTGCAGAGTATGACAATACAGCTGATAGTGTATGTTGGTTGGTTGCAGGGTGTGACGATACAGCTGATAGTGTATGTTGGTTGGTTGCAGGGCATGACGATACAGCTGATAGTGTATGTTGAATGGTTGCAGAGTGTGATGATACAGCTGATAGTGTATGTTGATTGGTTGCAGGGCATGACGATACAGCTGATAGTGTATGTTGAATGGTTGCAGAGTATGACAATACAGCTGATAGTGTATGTTGGTTGGTTGCAGGGTGTGACGATACAGCTGATAGTGTATGTTGATTGGTTGCAGGGCATGACGATACAGCTGATAGTGTATGTTGAATGGTTGCAGAGTGTGATGATACAGCTGATAGTGTATGTTGAATGGTTGCAGGGTGTGATGATACAGCTGATAGTGTATGTTGGTTGGTTGCAGGTTGTGACAATACAGCTGATAGTGTATGTTGAATGGTTGCAGGGAATAACGATACAGCTGATAGTGTATGTTGGTTGGTTGCAGGGTGTGATGATACAGCTGATAGTGTATGTTGAATGGTTGCAGGGAATAACGATACAGCTGATAGTGTATGTTGGTTGGTTGCAGGGTGTGATGATACAGCTGATAGTGTATGTTGGTTGGTTGCAGGATGTGACGATACAGCTGATAGTGTATGTTGATTGGTTGCAGGGAATAACGATACAGCTGATAGTGTATGTTGGTTGGTTGCAGGGTGTGACAATACAGCTGATAGTGTATGTTGGTTGGTTGCAGGGTGTGATGATACAGCTGATAGTGTATGTTGGTTGGTTGCAGGTTGTGACAATACAGCTGATAGTGTATGTTGGTTGGTTGCAGGGTGTGATGATACAGCTGATAGTGTATGTTGAATGGTTGCAGGGAATAACGATACAGCTGATAGTGTATGTTGGTTGGTTGCAGAGTGTGACGATACAGCTGATAGTGTATGTTGGTTGGTTGCAGGGTGTGGCGATACAGCTGATAGTGTATGTTGATTGGTTGCAGAGAGTGACGATACAGCTGATAGTGTATGTTGGTTGGTTGCAGGGTGTGATGATACAGCTGATTGTGTATGTTGATTGGTTGCAGAGTGTGACGATACAGCTGATAGTGTATGTTGATTGGTTGCAGGGTGTGACGATATAGCTGATAGTGTATGTTGGTTGGTTGCAGGGTGTGACGATTCAGCTGAATGAGGAATCTGGCAACATTGAGGTGGCGCGGGTGTTACATGGTGGAGCAGCAGACAGAAGTGGTAGGTGTGCTCAGCCTGGTGCATATCAAACAGATCGTTTAGTTTACTGTCAGTTTGGAGTAAGAATTTCCAGACCAATGTATTTTCACAAGGAAAGTTCAACATGGTCAGACTTGTGAGAAATAACTCAGGGAACTGTTTGGTAAAGCTTGGAAATCAAACACATCTTTAGGGAAGTTGCAGACATTGTTCACATGGACATGTGGTTTCATATGTAGAACATTATCTGATATTGTTCACATGGACACGTGGTGTCATTTGTAGAGCATTATCAGATATTGTTCAGACGGACATGTGGTTTCATATGTAGAACATTATCAGACATTGTTCACATGGACATGTGGTTTCATATGTAGAGCATTATCAGACATTGTTCACATTGACATGTGGTTTCATATGTAGAGCATTATCAGACATTGTTCACATGGACAGGTGGTTTCATATGTAGAGCATTATCCGACATTGTTCACATGGACATGTGGTTTCATATGTAGAGCATTATCAGAGATTGTTCACATGGACAGGTGGTTTCATATGTAGAGAATTATCAGATATTGTTCACATGGACATGTGGTGTCATATGTAGAACATTATCAGATATTGTTCACATGGACATGTGGTTTCATATGTAGAGCATTATCAGGCATTGTTCACATGGACAGGTGGTGTCATTTGTAGAGCATTATCAGACATTGTTCACATGGACAGGTGGTTTCATATGTAGAGCATTATCAGACATTGTTCACATGGAGATGCAGCCTCAGTTAAACGTCAATAACAGACACTATTTATATGGACTTTCAGCCTCAGCTGTATGGCCGTTCGTCCCCTGACATCTAATTTTGGGAGTCCCCAATACTCTCAAAATGATTTTAGGAGTCAAAGGCAGATATTTGAGAGTCAGTAACAAGTTTTAAAACATTTCAAACCATTAATGCATATACCTTTATATATGAAACTTGATTGGTTAAATAGTGTTATATGTAGCTATTCTAGATAAAATTCAGGAAATATGAAGGTCGAACAGTAGACTTTCTGAAATTTTCATTGTCGTGGCATGATGGTCTTTCAACAGGTCTGATCCATGTTGGGGATGAGGTCCACGAGGTCAATGGCGTGTGTGTGCGGGGATGCGATCCCAATGAGGTTGTTGACATTCTGGTGAGTAGTACTCTCAATATGTCCTGTTTCAAATATCATCTTGCAGATTGTAACTGATTTCATTATAACATATCATCGGCAGTATAAGATATGCTAACTGTCTGGCTTAAGCATTTAGAATTCATTGATTGAAAGTATCACTCATATGTTGGTCTTCATTTCCCAACTGGACCATCTGATAATGGTCTCAGTGCCAATAGTGGTCGTACAGTGTCCATAGCTATACAGTGTCAGTACAGTATCAAAACAGTGTCAGAACAGGGTCTGTACAAGATTTACAGTGTTAAAGCCTTGTACTTAACATGCTGATGTCTATAGCAGAGGCATGAATAGTGAGCTTGATGTTTTAGTCGAGAATAACTGGCCCTGTGACGCTGAAGCTGGTGCCAAGCAACTCCAAGAATGGCCCAGATCAACGCCAATGTCAGGTAAGTATCTCGCATAGGAGTGCTAATTGAGACGTTCTGAGCTTCATCTAGAAGGAATTGCATGATAATGAAATATTTACTATATGTTTGGGGTTACCTTTCTTGGCAAACTACAGATTCTTGTACACTTGTGGGTTCAGTTTGGGATTGGAACTCACGGTCTCAGTCACGACTGGTGGAGGCACTTTTCTCAGGTTCCCACTTTTGATTATCTGATTCACTGTAATAAACAAATAAAGATTTGAAAATAGCCTGGTATACAGTGATTTGGTGACATGATATGGACCTATCTTTATTGTATGAACACACAGAGACATGCAGTCATCTACACAATGTTTATGATGTGCTTGAAAACAAGTGTTTGGATTTTATTGTGACAAGATCCTATACTCTAATTACCACACATGATGCCATATCATAATACCTCACCTTATCTCACAATGTTGGCCCTAAATCTTTCAGATGAGAGTGAAGGCTCTGTTTGACTACACCCCGGAAACAGACACCACCAACCCTTGCCCAGAAGCTGGACTGGAGTTCAGAAGAGGGGATGTGCTTCACATTGTCAATCAAGATGACCCCACCTGGTGGCAAGCCAGGAAAGAAGGGGAGACAATCACTAGTGCTGGCCTCATTCCAAGTAAACAGCTCCAAGAGAGGTAACATGTTTCAGACAAGCAGTGAATCATCTCTCTCAGGAAGTCTCCAAGACTTTAACAGTTCCTTCCAATTCTTGTAGTATTAGGATCTAGTTTAATCTGGAAAAAAATGAAAATGTTCTAAATGTGGGGTAGTTTGAACATTGTCATCCAAGGATGCAAGTCATGTTGTTCTGCTGTTCCAGGGATGCTAGTAATGTTGTTCTGCTGTTCCAGGGATGCTAGTCATGTTGTTCTGCTGTTCCAGGGATGGTAGTCATGTTGTTCTGCTGTTCCAGGGATGCTAGTCATGTTGTTCTGCTGTTCCAGGGATGCTAGTCATGTTGTTCTGCTGTTCCAGGGATGCAAGTCATGTTGTTCTGCTGTTCCAGGGATGTTCCAGGGATGCTAGTCATGTTGCTCTGCTGTTCCAGGGATGCAAGTCATGTTGTTCTGCTGTTCCAGGGATGCTAGTCATGTTGCTCTGCTGTTCCAGGGATGCTAGTCATGTTGTTCTGCTGTTCCAGGCTATGTCCAGGGATGTTGTTGTTCTGCTGTTCCAGGGATGTTGTTCTGCTGTTCAGGGATGCTAGTCAATGTTGTTCTGCTGTTCCAGGGATGGTAGTCATGTTGTTCTGCTGTTCCAGGATGCTAAGTCATGTTGTTCTGCTGTTCCAGGGATGCAGTGTTGTTCTGCTGTTCCAGGGATGCTAGTCATGTTGTTCTGCTGTTCCAGGGATGCTTGTTCTGTGTTCATGTTCATGTTGTTCCTGCTGTTCAGGGATGGTAGTCATGTTGTTCTGCTGTTCCAGGTGTTCAGTGCTAGTCATGTTCTTGCTGTTCAGGATGCTAGGATGCTAGCTGTTTCCAGGGATGCAAGTCATGTTGTTCTGCTGTTCCAGGGATGCAAGTCATGTTGTCATTCTGCTGTTCCAGGGATGCAAGTATGTTGTTCTGCTGTTCCAGGGATGTTGCTCTGCTGTTCCAGGGATGCAAGTCATGTTGTTCTGCTGTTCCAGGGATGCAAGTCATGTAGGATGTCATGTTGTTCTTGCTAGCTGCGTTGCTTCTGCTGTTCCAGGGATGATGCAAGTCATGTTGTTCTGGTGTTCCAGGGATGCACGCCATGTTGTTCTGCTGTTCCAGGGATGCTAGTTGTCATGTTGGATGCTAGTCTGCTGTTCCAGGGATGCTGCTGTCAGGGATGTTGTTCTTGCTGTTCCAGGATGGTAGTCATGTTGTTCTGCTGTTCCAGGGATGCTAGTCATGTTGCTCTGCTGTTCTGTTCATGTTGTTCTGCTGCTCCAGGGATGCAAGTTCAGGGATGCAAGTCATGTTGTTCTGCTGTTCCAGGGATGCTAGTCATGTTGTTCTGCTGTTCCAGGATGCAAGTCATGTTGTTCTGCTGTTCCAGGGATGCAAGTCATGTTGTTCTGCTGTTCCAGGGATGCAAGTCATGTTGTTCAGGGATGCAAGTCATGTTGTTCTGCTGTTCCAGGGATGCAAGTCATGTTGTTCTGCTGTTCCAGGGATGCTAGTCATGTTGTTCTGCTGTTCCAGGGATGCAAGTCATGTTGTTCTGCTGTTCCAGGGATGCAAGTCATGTTGTTCTGCTGTTCCAGGATGATGTCATCATGTTGTTCTGCTGTTCCAGGGATGGTCATGTTTGTTCTGCTGTTCCAGGGATGCAAGTCATGTTGTTCTGCTGTTCCAGGGATGCAAGTCATGTTGTTCTGCTGTTCCAGGGATGCAAGTCATGTTGTTCTGCTGTTCCAGGGATGCAAGTCATGTTGTTCTGCTGTTCCAGGGATGGTAGTCATGTTGCTCTGCTGTTCCAGGGATGCAAGTCATGTTCTGCTGTTCTGCTGTTTGTTCTGCTGTTCAGGGATGCAGGTCATGTTGTTCTGCTGTTCCAGGGATGCTAGTCATGTTGTTCTGCTGTTCCAGGGATGCAAGTCATGTTGTTCTGCTGTTCCAGGGATGGTAGTCATGTTGTTCTGCTGTTCCAGGGATGTAATGTCTCTTCCAGGGATGCAAGTCATGTTGTTCTGCTGTTCCAGGGATGCATAGTCATGTTGTTCTGCTGTTCCAGGGATGGTAGTCATGTTGTTCTGCTGTTCCAGGGATGCAAGTCATGTTGTTCTGCTGTTCCAGGGATGGTAGTCATGTTGTTCTGCTGTTCCAGGGATGCAAGTCATGTTGTTCTGCTGTTCCAGGGATGCAAGTCATGTTGTTCTGCTGTTCCAGGGATGCAAGTCATGTTGTTCTGCTGTTCCAGGGATGCTAGTCATGTTGTTCTGCTGTTCCAGGGATGCAAGTCATGTTGTTCTGCTGTTCCAGGGATGCAAGTCATGTTGTTCTGCTGTTCCAGGGATGCAATGTCATGTTGTTCTGCTATTCCAGGGATGCAAGTCATGTTGTTCTGCTGTTGCAGGGATGCAAGTCATGTTGTTCTGCTGTTCCAGGGATGCAATGTCATGTTGTTCTGCTGTTCCAGGGATGCAAGTCATGTTGCTCTGCTGTTCCAGGGAAGCTAGTCATGTTGCTCTGGTGTTCCAGGGTTGGTAGTCATGTTGTTCTGCTGTTCCAGGGATGGTAGTCATGTCATTCTGCTGTTCCAGGGATGCTAGTCATGTTGTTCTGCTGTTCCAGGGATGGTAGTCATGTTGTTCTGCTGTTCCAGGGATGCAAGTCATGTTGTTCTGCTGTTCCAGGGATGCATGTCTTGTTGTTCTGCTGTTCCAGGGATGCAAGTCATGTTGCTCTGCTGTTCCAGGGATGCAAGTCATGTTGTTCTGCTGTTCCAGGGATGCAAGTCATGTTGTTTTGCTGTTCCAGGAACGAGATGCAGAGACGGGCTGAGGCGAAGGGTTCCCCCGGGCTTGTGCACAATGGGACAAGTGAGTTGGGAAGAGAGTCTGTATCATGTGTCTATACATCTGTCTCTTCTTCTGTGCCACAAATTGAGTCACCCTCCGAACTCTCAGTCAATGTATGTGCTGTGAAATATGCATCCATTTGAACATTAGGGATGATATATGTTACAGTTCAGGCAACAAAAAGTCAAGATGCATTATGTGTTTGCCAACAGTAGCAGGATTAGCTTGATGGATGAATGTTGTGAGGGAGTTGTCTGTAACCTTGCACGTCTGGTGCATGACATACACCAGAGACCACGTTGTCTGTAACCTGGCACGTCTGGTGCATGACAAACACCAGAGACCAAGTTGTCTGTAACCTGGCATGTCTAGTGCATGACAAACACCAGAGACCAAGTTGTCTGTAACCTGGCACGTCTAGTGCATGACAAACACCAGAGACCAAGTTATCTGTAACCTGGCACGTCTGGTGCATGACAAACACCAGAGACCAAGTTGTCTGTAACCTGGCATGTCTGGTGCATGACAAACACCAGAGAACAAGTTGTCTGTAACCTGGCATGTCTGGTGCATGACAAACACCAGAGACAAATCGTTACCATAGCAGAGTTAGGAGTTTGATCTGAGGCTGAATATTGCCGTTCAATTTAATTTCAATGTGTGGAGCTGATGCGACCATTACTTCCCAATGCTGCTGGTGAATGGGTCGAGGGTAGAGCATCATTAGCTTATAGAGGTGTAACAGCTGGCTAACGAACAAGATGATGTGTCAAGGGAATTGCTATTGAGGATTGTGGGGAGGAGTTTGTTTCAGAAATGATGCACATCTTCATATTTTGCTGTTACCTTTAATTTTTACGATCTGTGTGCTGCCACCACTCAGAAAAACCACATTACCTGGTTGAACATGTCATGTACCATGGTGAGGATGAGGATAGAAATGTTGAATAGTGTCGTTCCCACAGAATCACCTCCTTCTTTCTCTCCATTGTTACCTCAGTATGTGAAAAGGGTGTGTGTGTGTGTGTGTGGTGTGGGGGTGCAGGGGTGGTGTGTGGATGCGGGGGGTCGGGGTGGGGATGTGGTGTTTTTGGGGTTTTGCCGTATGCAGTTGGTGTAGTTGCACTAGTTATCCAGTAGTCCAGGTGGCTTCGTCAAATATATCTTGATGGCTGTCACTTTATACTAATATTTGTCCCTGGCTAAGTGTAGCAAATTTGAAAGTTTTATTTTTTCTGTTGTTGATGATTTGGTTTACAGATCTGTGAGAGTATTGAGTACACTATACACTGTCCTTGTGACTATGTGGAGTATTTGGTACACTAAGACGTAATTTCACCCACACATCAGACTCTGCCTGTCTGTTTCAGGCAAGCATTTCTTTGTAAGAATATCGTAATTTATGCTTTTTTTCATTCTTCACCTGTTCACAGCTCACATTCTGTTTCTCTTTGTTTGTGTCCCCTCTCCAGGACAACTGAGCCCATGTCGGTACAGTCCAAGAATTCCGCGCCAAAAGAAATTACGTAAAACAATGTACCATGCAGTTCAGAACGGAGGTACCTGGCTCAGTCATATTTTCTAACAATTCAGTAAATTAAATGCTGTGGTTGAGATCCTGTGTGAAAAATTACATATAAATAGTTGGAGCTTTTCATAGAATTTGTTTTATGTAAATTTTTCCATAATTTAGTTTTTCCTATAAAGTTGTGTGTATTTATTTGATTGGCTACAAGATTTCATGGGGGCGTTTGGAATGCTCGGAACCACAGCCTTTATTTATGTGTAATAGTAATGTTATACTTTTCTCTGCACATCTACCTGCATCTGCCTTGAGGTTTGTCAAACATCTTTCTTTGTGGATTACTGTAACACAGGTATTGTAGTATCAAGAACATAATCTGTATAAATCAAGTTCTGTGATTTTCAATGAGTACATCTACAAGCCCATATTTCCCTGATGATAATTTGCCTTTACTCGCTTGTTCTGTCTTAGCTGACAGTGTAGGCTAGGATTAAGACTTCGGAGATCATGTGCACCACAAGCAGATCAGTTGTAAATGTTGATGTTACAGAGTATGATACAGATGAAATCCCCACGTATGAGGAGGTTGAACAGTATCAGCCCAAGCCCAACAAGTGCAGACCGATAGTGCTTATAGGTAAGGCATCACCTCATAGATGAGGTATTACTTTATAGGTAAGGCATCACCTCATAGATGAGGTATTACTTTATAGGTAAGGTATCACCTCATAGATGAGGTGGGGCTGTGGGGTAGCCTAATGGTTAAAGCGTTGGTTCGTCACGCCGAAGACCCGGGTTCTAATCCCCACATGGGTACAATGTGTGAAGCCCATTTCTGGTGTCCCCAGCCGTGATGTTGCTGGAATATTGCTAAAAGCGGTGTAAAACCAAACTCAGTCAGTCAGTCATAGATGAGGTATTACTTTATAGGTAAGGCATCACCTCATAGATGAGGTATTACTTTATAGGTAAGGCTTCACCTCATAGATGAGGTATTACATTATAGGTAAGGCATCACCTCATAGATGAGGTACTACTTTATAGGTAAGGCATTCCTTCATAGATGAGGTATTACTTTATAGGTAAGGCATCACCTCATAGATGAGGTATTACTTTATAGGTAAGGCATCACCTCATAGATGAGGTATTACTTTATAGGTAAGGCATCACCTCAGAGATGAGGTATTACTTTATAGGTAAGGTATCACCTCATAGATGAGGTACTACTTTATAGGTAAGGCATCACCTCATAGATGAGGTATTACTTTATAGGTAAGGCATCACCTCATAGATGAGGTATTACTTTATAGGTAAGGCATCACCTCATAGAGATGAGGTATTACTTTATAGGTAAGGCATCACCTCATAGATGAGGTATTACTTTATAGGTAAGGCATCACCTCATAGATGAGGTATTACTTTATAGGTAGGCATCACCTCATAGATGAGGTATTACTTTATAGGTAAGGCATCACCTCATAGATGAGGTACTACTTTATAGGTAAGGCATCACCTCATAGATGAGGTATTACTTTATAGGTAAGGCATCACCTCATAGATGAGGTATTACTTTATAGGTAAGGCATCACCTCATAGATGAGGTATTACTTTATAGGTAAGGCATCACCTCATAGATGAGGTATTACTTTATAGGTAAGGCATCACCTCATAGATGAGGTATTACTTTATAGGTAAGGCATCACCATCACCTCAGATGAGGTATTACTTTATAGGTAAGGCATCACCTCATAGATGAGGTATTACTTTATAGGTAAGGCATCACCTCATAGATGAGGTACTACATTATATAGGTGAGGCATTCCTTCATAGATAAGAGGTATAGATGAGGTATTACTTTATAGGTAAGGCATCACCTCATAGATGAGGTATTACTTTATAGGTAAGGCATCACCTCATAGATGAGGTATTACTTTATAGGTAAGGCATCACCTCATAGATGAGGTATTACTTTATAGGTAAGGCATCACCTCATAGATGAGGTATTACTTTATAGGTAAGGCATCACCTCATAGATGAGGTATTACTTTATAGGTAAGGCATCACCTCATAGATGAGGTATTACTTTATAGGTAAGGCATCACCTTCATAGATGAGGTATTACTTTATAGGTAAGGCATCACCTCATAGATGAGGTATTACTTTATAGGTAAGGCATCACCTCATAGATGAGGTATTACTTTATAGGTAAGGCATCACCTCATAGATGAGGTATTACTTTATAGGTAAGGTATCACCTCATAGATGAGGTACTACTTTATAGGTAAGGCATTCCTTCATAGATGAGGTATTACTTTATAGGTAAGGCATCACCTCATAGATGAGGTATTACTTTATAGGTAAGGCATCACCTCATAGATGAGGTATTACTTTATAGGTAAGGCATCACCTCATAGATGAGGTATTACTTTATAGGTAAGGCATCACCTCATAGATGAGGTATTACTTTATAGGTAAGGCATCACCTCATAGATGAGGTATTACTTTATAGGTAAGGCATCACCTCATAGATGAGGTATTACTTTATAGGTAAGGCATCACCTCATAGATGAGGTATTACTTTATAGGTAAGGCATCACCTCATAGATGAGGCATTACTTTATAGGTAAGGCATCACCTCATAGATGAGGTATTACTTTATAGGTAAGGCATCACCTCATAGATGAGGTATTATTACTTTATAGGTAAGGCATCACCTCATAGATGAGGTATTACTTTATAGGTAAGGCATCACCTCATAGATGAGGTACTACTTTATAGGTAAGGCATCCTTCATAGATGAGGTATTACTTTATAGGTAAGGCATCACCTCATAGATGAGGTATTACTTTATAGGTAAGGCATCACCTCATAGATGAGGTATTACTTTATAGGTAAGGCATCACCTCATAGATGAGGTATTACTTTATAGGTAAGGCATCACCTCATAGATGAGGTATTACTTTATAGGTAAGGCATCACCTCATAGATGAGGTATTACTTTATAGGTAAGGCATCACCTCATAGATGAGGTATTACTTTATAGGTAAGGCATCACCTCATAGATGAGGTATTACTTTATAGGTAAGGCATCACCTCATAGATGAGGTATTACTTTATAGGTAAGGCATCACCTCATAGATGAGGTATTACTTTATAGGTAAGGCATCACCTCATAGATGAGGTATTACTTTATAGGTAAGGCATCACCTCATAGATGAGGTATTACTTTATAGGTAAGGCATCACCTCATAGATGAGGTATTACTTTATAGGTAAGGCATCACCTCATAGATGAGGTAGGCATTACTTTATAGGTAAGGCATCACCTCATAGATGAGGTATTACTTTATAGGTAAGGCATCACCTCATAGATGAGGTATTACTTTATAGGTAAGGCATCACCTCATAGATGAGGTATTACTTTATAGGTAAGGCATCACCTCATAGATGAGGTATTACTTTATAGGTAAGGCATCACCTCATAGATGAGGTATTACTTTATAGGTAAGGCATCACCTCATAGATGAGGTATTACTTTATAGGTAAGGCATCACCTCATAGATGAGGTACTTACTTTATAGGTAAGGCATCACCTCATAGATGAGGTATTACTTTATTATAGGTAAGGCATCACCTCATAGATGAGGTATTACTTTATAGGTAAGGCATCACCTCATAGATGAGGTATTACTTTATAGGTAAGGCATCACCTCATAGATGAGGTATTACTTTATAGGTAAGGCATCACCTCATAGATGAGGTATTACTTTATAGGTAAGGCATCACCTCATAGATGAGGTATTACTTTATAGGTAAGGCATCACCTCATAGATGAGGTATTACTTTATAGGTAAGGCATCACCTCATAGATGAGGTATTACTTTATAGGTAAGGCATCACCTCATAGATGAGGTATTACTTTATAGGTAAAGGTATCACCTCATAGATGAGGTTATTACTTTATAGGTAAGGCATCACTTCATAGATGAGGTATTACTTTATAGGTAAGGCATCACCTCATAGATGAGGTATTACTTTATAGGTAAGGCATCACCTCCATAGATGAGGTATTACTTTATAGGTAAGGCATCACCTCATAGATGAGGTATTACTTTATAGGTAAGGCATCACCTCATAGATGAGGTATTACTTTATAGGTAAGGCATCACCTCATAGATGAGGTATTACTTTATAGGTAAGGCATCACCTCATAGATGAGGTACTACTTTATAGGTAAGGCATCACCTCATAGATGAGGTATTACTTTATAGGTACTTTATAGGTAAGGCATCAGGTAAGGCATCCTCATAGATGAGGTATTACTTTATAGGTAAGGCATCACCTCATAGATGAGGTATTACTTTATAGGTAAGGCATCACCTCATAGATGAGGTATTACTTTATAGGTAAGGCATCACCTCATAGATGAGGTATACTACTTTATAGGTAAGGCATCACCTCATAGATGAGGTATTACTTTATAGGTAGGGGCATCACCTCATAGATGAGGTATTACTTTATAGGTAAGGCATCACCTCATAGATGAGGTATTACTTTATAGGTAAGGCATCACCTCATAGATGAGGTATTACTTTATAGGTAAGGCATCACCTCATAGATGAGGTATGAGGCATTACTTTATAGGTAAGGGCATCACCTCATAGATGAGGTATTACTTTATAGGTAAGGCATCACCTCATAGATGAGGTATTACTTTATAGGTAAGGCATCACCTCATAGATGAGGTATTACTTTATAGGTAAGGCATCACCTCATAGATGAGGCATTACTTTATAGGTAAGGCATCACCTCATAGATGAGGCATTACTTTTATAGGTAAGGCATCACCTCATAGATGAGGTATTACTTTATAGGTAAGGCATCACCTCATAGATGAGGTATTACTTTATAGGTAAGGCATCACCTCATAGATGAGGTATTACTTTATAGGTAAGGCATCACCTCATAGATGAGGTATTACTTTATAGGTAAGGCATCACCTCATAGATGAGGCATTACTTTATAGGTAAGGCATCACCTCATAGATGAGGTATTACTTTATAGGTAGGGCATCACCTCATAGATGAGGTATTACTTTATAGGTAAGGGCATCACCTCATAGATGAGGTATTACTTTATAGGTAAGGCATCACCTCATAGATGAGGTATTACTTTATAGGTAAGGCATCACCTCATAGATGAGGTATTACTTTATAGGTAAGGCATCACCTCATAGATGAGGTATTACTTTATAGGTAAGGCATCACCTCATAGATGAGGTATTACTTTATAGGTAAGGCATCACCTCATAGATGAGGTATTACTTTATAGGTAAGGCATCACCTCATAGATGAGGTATTACTTTATAGGTAAGGCATCACCTCATAGATGAGGAGGTATTACTTTATAGGTAAGGCATCACCTCATAGATGAGGTATTACTTTATAGGTAAGGCATCACCTCATAGATGAGGTATTACTTTATAGGTAAGGCATCACCTCATAGATGAGGTATTACTTTATAGGTAAGGCATCACCTCATAGATGAGGTATTACTTTATAGGTAAGGCATCACCTCATAGATGAGGTATTACTTTATAGGTAAGGCATCACCTCATAGATGAGGTATTACTTTATAG